GCACAGCAAGCACCCGCTGTTCACGTGCCCCATACCCCTTGATTAGTGGTCATAAGCAACTTCTCACATGCCCAAAGGGAAACTGTGATAGGCAAGCATCTTGCAGTTTGCTACATACTTGTGCTTAGCTTAGCCAGATACATAGCTGGGAAAATTCCTCAGTTATCTTTACTCAACAGATACAGTTCCTCACAACACAGCCCTTCAAGGTCATTCTCATAACACAGCTGTTGTTAGCAGTCTGATCTCAGGCCTGGATTGTCCAAACCTTGCAACAAAATATCATGGCCATTCTCCATCAGAAATGCTTCTACATAGGGTCTCTAAATACCTGGCTCCCAGGACTCTCCTCCTTGCCGGTTAATGCACCAACATGACACATGCACACAGCTTGATCTCTCCAGTTGCTGGCCCTGAAGGTGCACAAGCCCCTTTGACTCGTGCTTCCCACTCCAGGGATGGGCCCTCGGACCTCTATCCGTACCAAAAGCAGACATCTCCTCACTCCAGAATGTTGTGGAGGATGGAATTTCATAAGAAGACAGGACAGACTTTCAGTTACATGGTGTGCATAAACAATTATGCTGACCAGCCACATGTGACCAGCTCCTTTCATCCCCTTTTCCCCCTATTTTCCGATGCTTCTTTCTCCCCAAACCACCTTGGTCCTTCCCTTTCCCTGCCTTTGCTTCTTTCCTAGGCATGCCATAGCAAGCCTGGCACAATCCTCAGTGCTGTCTCCGGCATCCCATAAAGACTGTCAGACCCGCAGAGGCAGAAACCCCCACCCTAAATCGGCAAGGTCACCCTGGGAGGCTCCTCCGATTGACCCACTTGTTAAATGTCACACACAGATATTTTGGACCTGTCTGTGAATGAGTGTGTTTCACTTTGGGTTTTAAATTGTTTCTCTGAAAACAGGGTGATTCCTGTCCTAAGAAATGGCAATTATTTATGCTTGTGGAAGTGTTGGGGATTAGTCAGATACAAATGTCCATGTGGGATATGTGTGAAACTGAGCACAGTTTGTCTGACCATGTGTTGTAGTTTGAGCCTGGTCAGCAGCCAAACACAACGCAGCCACTCGCTCCCCCTTCTCTTCCCACAATGAGAAGGGATAGATGAGCCAGGCTTGGGGATAAAGATAGGACCGGGATGGGAAAAATCATCACCCTTTATGGTCACGAGTGAAAGACAGACTCGTTAGGGGAAGAAAAAAAAATAACATACATTTATTACAGACACTAAAAACTTGTAACAGAGTAGGAGAGTGAGCAGCATTGCCACATCTTGAGAACACCTTCCCCCCACCCCTCCCTTCTTCCCGGGCTCAGCTCTGCTCCCGATATCTCTACCTCCTCCCCCAGTGGCGCAGGGGCAGGAATAGGGGGGTGCAGTCAGTGCTGCTGCTTCTGCCATCTTCGGTGGGGAGAGTTTCTGGAACTTGTTCCCCCTGCTCCAGTGTGGTCCCCCTCTCAGAGGAGAGAGTCCTCCACAAACTTACAGGTGCCTAGGTACCTGTATTGGGTGTATGTGGCAAGGTTTTTAGGTAGCAGCGGGGAGGGAGACATAGAGGGGTGACTTCTGTGAGACGATGCCAAAAGCTGCTGCATCATGTCAGATGTGGGGTGCATGAGGTGAAATGGATCCTGTTTGAGCCCAAGGGCTTCCATCTCTGGATGAGATGCCCACATTGCCTCAGCTGTATTCCTGCCCTGCATAGGGGAAACAAACCCTTTCCTTGTCCTGCTTTGTGTGTCCTTTTTTTGTTTTGGGACAGGGAAATTACATTTTTCAGATGGGGACATTGACAGCTTTTACAGGCCAGACCATGCTCTGCTAGGACAAACTGTGCTGGAACCAGTCTCCCTCCACTGTCGGGACAGGTACATTGGTGATGACTTCAGTTGACTTCAGAGAACATTCCCCAGGGGTGGCCCCGCTGCCTTTCGGGAGCTGTCAGCCCTTGAGCACCAGGGATCTCTCGAGGGACAGCAGCGGGGTAGAGAAAGTGGTGCCTTGGGCTGGGCCGGGCTCCGGGGGCAGGAGGAGCTGATGGCAAGCGGGAAGCACTGGAGAGAGACAGCTCTGCCTGGGAGCAGCATCTCTGCGGAGCACGGCAGGGCTGAGGGCACTGCCCACGGGTGACAAGGGGAAAGGAGAGAAGTGAGAGGGATGTAAGACAGTGTGCAGTGGGAGGATGCTGAGTTCACTGGGGGACAAATCATCACAGCTCCTAACACAGTAAGTCTCTGGCTGCAGGTGGGTACTGGTAGAGTCTCTGGGAGGGTCCTTCTAGAGCTGGCACATCCCAGGGCTGATGCTCTCTGGAGCAGTGCTTATCTGCCGAACGGCTGGGGAGACAGGGCATGTCATCTCCCTTTACCTGGGGACGGCTGCAGGAACGTGAAGCTGGGTGTGCAGCCAGGAGCACCCCAGGCTGTCCTTCATCACAATCACCCCTGGTAAGACAGGGTCATTGTGCTGTTGAGGGGGTGAGGCGTGGGTCAGGGCTGCCCACAGCTCCTGCTGACAGCCTGGACAGCTCTGGAGGGGAATCCTGCAAGACAGAAAAAAAGGGAGGCTTCAGCTGCAAGGGAAGGAGCCTGTGCTTTCAGTTTGCTACTCTGGGTTGCCTGGGTGAGCAGTGAGAGATGGGAATGACTCTCACTGGTTTGGAGAAGGTACTGACAATGCAGATCTGTTTCACTGAGAGGTGAATGAGTCTGGCAGCATCAGAGCAATCCCCCACAGTTTACAGATCACCAGCATCATTAGCAGCAGGCTTGGCAGGTTTTCTCTGCTATTCCTACATGAATTTTGAAGCACAGAGAAGGTCCTGGGCAGTGCCCTGCCCCAGGAGGTGTCTTCAGGGCAGAGCTGAGCACGCAGCATCTGGGATGGGGTCTGTGAGTGCAGGAGATGGGAACTGAGAAACCAGGCTGCCATCAGGCACAGCTCCAGGCAGCAGAGACGTGGGCAGGGAGTGACATTTTTATCAGAAATCCTGTTTCAGGGGATCTACTGGCACCTCCGGCCATGCCCTGCAGCGCAGGTCCCTTCCCCTGATGTTGGAAAATGGGTGAAGAAAAAACACTTTTTTAGGGTAGCATAAGAACTTAAGCAATCAGTTGAACACCTGCAACACGTTCTCTGTTGCACAGAGGTCCTTCAGCTAGGCAAGCATGATAAACACCTCGTGGGGAATGCCTAAAAGGAGAGGCTCTGTGTGTAAATTGGGAAACTCCTAATGAGAAGCCCTTGTCCTTGGAGATTAAGGTGCTCTGAAAAAGAATGAACTAGCTGAAGCTAGTTTGGAGATAAGAAGTGCAGACATAAACCAATGAAGTCCAATTCCCATATATAGGAAATGTTCAAGAAGGGCTCCTCTCCAAACACCACCACAGACTGCTAGAGACCTCCAGTGACCCCCATGGAAGCCCCTTAGAGACCTAAACTGCATGCCTAATAGCTACTATGTATATATGATAATGAGTTTTAGGAAATGTGATGAATAGGTATGTAACAGAGGGATATAAGCTTTGGCTACTGTAATGTATGGTTTACATGTCAGGTGGAATGATTCCCTCATGTCCCCAACCACATAAAGTAATGCCTGCTCATTAATGCTAAACCCAGCATTAAGGAGTTTTCATTCCCGATTTCTGTGACACTGACATCTCTCACCTTCTCTCTCCCACCCAGCAGAGCCTCTGCCCTCACAGCCATGGAGTCCAGGCCACCAGCAGCCTCCTCGCCCCCCTGAGCGCCAAGAAGAGGTGAAGGGCATCTCTCCTGCCCCGTGCCCCTGCAGCACAGGGGCTGAGGGTGACTGCCCTGCGGTGTCACCGGCTGGGAGGTGGCGGGCAGAGCTGGGACAGGGGAAGGCTGTCCCGAGTGCCTGGCTGTCTCTCTGCTGGCCTCTCCCAGCTGGGCCATTACAGTGCATCTCGTGGGTCCTCCCACGCAGACGTGTCCTTGGGAACCCGGTGTCCTAGCTCTCCTCGAAGCTGTGGGGCTCTGGGCCGTGCAGCCCGTGTGGGTGGGGACTGAGCTGACTTCAGGAGATGCCACCATGAGAACACTTGGTGACTCCTTGGGGTGTCCTCCCAAGCTGGGAGCCGCCCTGCAGACTGCAAATCTCTCCTGCATCATTTGTGTGTAAAACCCAATAGCGAAACCCCGAGATGCTACAAGCAGGGAAAGGGTGATTGGTTGGGAAAATGAACTCTGTGTCCTTGGCAAGGAGTGGGGTGCTGAGACTTTGTGAAGGTGCCTGGTGGCAGGGTGAAATACTTAGTGATCTGCAGTGGATCCCTCTGCTCTCAGTGGGGTCTGATTGCTTCTCTGGGTACCCCAGGAGTGCAATCCCCCTCCATTTCAAGGGGCAGACACAGGGCAGCCGGGAATAAGACAAACAGACAGACCAGCTTGCCTGCCCCTGTGCTAAGCGACAGCAAATCCTTTTGCCTCCCAGGACTTGTGGATGCTCAGCCTGAGTGCAGCAGAGATGCTCAGCATTTCTGATTTCACAGAAGAGTCCCCAGAGGAGATGGGGCTGGAGTGGGTTGGTGTGGTGGAAAGGAATAACTTTATGAAAGGAACAACACAAAAAAAAAAAGCCTGATGCAGTCAAGTTTGCTTGGGATTGGGGGTGGAGATGCTGTCAATCCCTTTGATGATGAGAGAGAATTCACCTGAGAAAATCTATCAGACCTGGTCCCTAGGTGTCCCCTGCTCCCAGGCAGACCCTGGCCTAGAGCATGTCCAACACATCTGGGAGCCCACGGGCCCTGCTCTTCACAGCACCCCCAGACAGCACAAACCAGAGCAACAGCCAGGGAGCTGCACAAAGGTCCTGCCAAGCAGGAGAAAGGGAGGGGGTCTGAGGTGGGGTCACGAATGTGTGAGAGATGTCTTTGGTTTTACCCAGAGAAGTCTTTCCTCACTTGTCACTGTCTTTTCCCTCTGGTACAGGCCCCCGGGTTCATATGGAGACCATGTCCAACAGCAGCTCCATCACCCAGTTCCTCCTCCTGGCATTTGCAGACAGACGGGAGCTGCAGCTCCTGCACTTCTGGCTCTTCCTGGGCATCTACCTGGCTGCCCTCCTGGGCAACGGCCTCATCATCACCGCCATCGCCTGCGACCACCACCTCCACACCCCCATGTACTTCTTCCTCCTCAACCTCTCCCTCCTCGACCTGGGCTCCATCTCCACCACTCTCCCCAATTCCATGGCCAATTCCTTCCAGGTTACCAGGGCTATCTCCTACCAAGGCTGTGCTGTCCAGGTCTTTTTCTTTGCATTTTTCCTTGGAGGAGAGTGTGCTCTTCTGACCGTCATGGCCTACGACCGCTACGTTGCCATCTGTAAACCCCTGCACTACGAGACCCTCCTGGGCAGCAGAGCTTGTGTCCACATGGCAGCAGCTGCCTGGTCCAGTGGGTTCCTCAATTCTCTGCTGCACACTGCAAATACTTTTTCTGTACCACTCTGCAATGGCAACGTGTTGGACCAGTTCTTCTGTGAAGTTCCCCAGATCCTCAAGCTCTCCTGCTCAGACTCAGGATATCTCAGGGAAGTTGGGTTTCTCGTGGCTATTGTATTTGTAGTCTTTGCTTGTTTTATTTTCATCGTGCTGTCCTATGTGCAGATATTCAGGGTCGTGCTGAGGATCCCCTCTGAGCAGGGACAGCACAAGGCCTTTTCCACGTGCCTCCCTCACCTGGCCGTGTTCTCTCTGTTCATCAGCACTGCATTTTTTGCCTATCTGAAGCCCCCCTCCATCTCTTCTCCATCCCTGGATCTGATGGTGGCTGTTCTGTACTCAGTGGTACCTCCAGCTTTGAACCCCTTCATCTACAGCATGAGGAACAGGGAGCTCAAGGATGCGGTGAAGGAATTGATCCAACGCACCTTGTTCCACCAGCAGTAACCTGCCTCACCTTCTCTGCAGAGTACCCAGAGCTTGGATTAGGCCAAGCCTCTGATTTATTTTTCCCTTCTGATAATTTTCATAAGAGGTAACTGCTTGGCTTCATTCCACTTCTCTAGAGGCTTCATCTGTTGTGTCTGACCCTTTCACAAATGCCTTGAACCATCTACCATATCCGGCCTCCCTGAGAGCATCTCAGCAATAAAAAGGGTCTCCTGAGTGCAGTGCCTGAAGGCTGGGCTGTCCTAACAAAGCTGCTGCCACGAATAAGCCCAAGGAATTGGACTTTTAAAAATGTCTTTTCTCATTCTTTACTTCCTGCTTTGGGGCAATAAACTTGTGGCAACTGTGTGATCTATTGGACACCAAGTGGTGCTTTCAAAGACTATTCCTGGTGTCCAGGGGCTGTGTAGGTGCTGCAGGATCTCTCCATTACCTCTTTAGGCAGCCACATGTATAGAAGGGTTGACGGCATATAGTGTTCCTTGTGGAAATGATTCTGGAGGGGTCAGGAAAGAAAGGACACTCTCTGTGTGCCCTGGGGTGGGCAGTGAATGGACACACAGAAGATGAGACACACCTCAAAGCTGAAACTCATCCAGAGTAAAGCATTAATCCAGATACCCACAAGCTATGACCCTGCAGTTCAGTGTGAGCCAGCGAAAATGCAACAGGCACAGGGAAAGGAGACTAGAGAAATGTGGAAGCTGCCCGAGAAGCCCCAGGGCAGGGGGTCTCCTGCTGTCCTGGGCAGCAGGGCTGGTGGGGAGGCAGAAGGGGAACAAAAGCAGCCAGGGCTGAGGGCCACTTGCAGCATGAATGCAGGACAGACAGAGAGTGCCTGGCCTCTGTTTCCTCTTGCCCTTTGGACCAGCTCAAGTAGTGGGGACACTGAGGAGGCTGCCATCCCTCTCTGGGATGCTCCCTGGGGCTGGTGTGCCCTTCAGAAGGGTTGGAGCTGTGGAGTGAGTGCCCAGAGTTCGGCAGCACCCCGCAGCAGGCACTGCCATGGGGCTGGTCCAGACTGGGCTGCTCTGCTGAGCTGCGCTGGGGAGAGGGCAGGGGACGTGGAGAGAGCCAGGGAGGGCTTAGCCTGGGCTGGCAGGTTTCTTGGGAGAGGAAAACCCCAGTGTTAGCTGGGCTGTGTAAACAAACAAAGTGGGATCACAGAGCAGTGTGGTCACGGTGCACAGCCAGGCCTTTTGGAGAAGGATGCAAACCATCAGAGGCAAAAAAGAGAGGAGCTGGTCTGTGCCGTGGTCCCCAGACACCCTGAGGAAGCTGCCCCACCAGCCCTGGCTATTTCCATCTCTGGAGATACAAGCAGCCATGGGCAGGGGCCTCTGCTGCTTGGTGACCTCTACCTTCCTGCTGGGCTCAGTGCCCACAGGAGTGATGGCCAGCCCTGGGCCGTCTCTCCTGACCCAGACACTACCAGACCCTGCAGCACAGTGTTACAACCCAGACTGGGAGCTCAGGGAGTTGTAAAGTTTCTGTGATCCCCTCAGGTTAAATTCAGATGAAATGACACCAAATGACCACTTAAAATGTTTTACTTGTGATAGAAACAACTTAAACTTGGAAAAGGATAGCTCTTATTGATAAATTTATAAGAAACAAACAAACAAAAAAAAGGAATAAAAGTAAAGGAGAAGAAGAGAGAGAGTAAAGGAATCTGGTCCATCACCCACGTTCCAGCATTGTCTCAGGTCTGGTTATCTTGGTGGTGGGTGCACCCCCAGCAAAGTTTTCTCTTGCCTTTTAAATTCATCTTTATCAGATGTTTTGCATACTAGACCAAGAGAGGCAGGTATTCCAAGAACACATTTCCATGAGAGAAAAGGAGAGGTGGAGCACAGGTTCCGTGCGTGCATTGTGGGGGGACGGGGTGCATCAACAGCCTTGTCAATTGAGTCAGTGGACATGCTCACCTCCCAATCCCTTATTTTTTTCCTCAGTTTTTGCTTAGGTCCATCTGGTGCTGGTTACTTACCTCTCTTATTAGTCCTTTAACCCAAACATATTCTTTCACTGAGTCCACGATTCCCTCCTTTGAGGTTTATCTAAAGAGTTTGGCAATACAACTGCGAAAGAGTGGAGCCGTGAGTACTTCGATACACTCTGTGCTTCCTTGGGCAGATAGTTTGTTCCTTAGACTGATCACAAAGGCCACAGATTGTCAAATTTTTCTGTGTTGATGAATGCTTGAGGCATTTACTCCTTCAGTTCCTTACACATCTCTGCCTGTAAAACCCTACGTGGGGCTCACCAAGGGTCGAGTGGTGGTGAGAGGCTGCCACTGCTGGAGGAAGAACCATGGACGGCTGCCACGGGGTCTGTGCTGGGCAGACATTTCCCCACCCTGAACAACCACCCTGGTCCACGCAGTGCCTGCACCATGGGGCTGTGGGGCCATGTGGGGCAGCAGGACTTGGCCAGCCCAGCTGAGGAGGTCCTCCCTGCTCTGCCCACTGCCACCCATCGGCACTGCCACAGCCCCTCTGTGCTGGGCAATGAGGTTTCTGTGGGTGCCCTTCTGTGAGCCGCGTGGGTACCCACAGGGTATGTCTCTGCTTGGAGCTGGTCGCCTTGGCCTGCCTGCACGGTCCTGGCAAGGCTTGGCCTTGGAGATGGGCTGTGACAGTCCTCAGCCCATGGCATGAGTGCCAGCCTAGGAATGACTCCTGCAGAAGAGCTCACACTGTGCTGGGGGCATGGGTGAGCCCTTCAAGATGTCCTCACACCAGGATTCTTATTGGTACAAAGGGGAACCATGGCAGCCTGAAGTGATTTCTGCTGTATGGAAGCTGTGAGGGTTGTACAAGCACTCACAGGTAGAAGGAAAATTTTTTAAAAGGAAAAATTTATTGGGCTCTAATGATGTCAGTGCAGTGGGGGTGCATACAGGCACAACTCTGATACCCAATTCCACCACCATTATGACCAGAGAAGAAAAAAGCTTCATACTGACCCTCAGACCTGATGTTCCATAGCTCCTGCCTAAGTTGGTCTCCAAGCCCATACTCAGACAACTTGTGCTAGATCAAGTGCACCGGGCCTCGTCTCCATGAGTTTGGAACATCTCTATTGACCAAGATTCCACCATCTCCCCTGAGCCCTTGCTCAGCTGCTTGTCTCTGAGGGATCTCTCCAAAAACCCCAACCCTCAAAACCAAACAGCCCACTTAGCCTCTCCTAGTACACAATGTGCTCCAGGCCCCAACCATCTTTCCATCCTCTGCAGGACTATTCACAGCCTGTCAAGGTCTTTCTTGTGCTGGGGAGACCCACACTGGACACAGCAATCCTACTGGGGCCCATGAATAGAGGAGAAGAGTCAATTCTCTTAAGCTGCTGGCTGTGATTTTGTTAATCCTGCCCGGGATGTGGTTGGCCTGCCTCTTCCCAAGGGCACACTGCTCCCTCCTGTCCCACTTGTGCACCCAGACTCCCCGGTCCTTTTCTGCAGAGCTGCTGTCCCCAGCCTGGCCTCTTGTCTGGAGTTGTCCCAGCGCAGTGGCAGGATGAACACTGGCATTTGTCTTCAACATTGTGTGGGTCCCAGGCAGCCCTTTTCACTGAGGACTACTACATCCACCTCTTTCCTCATCCAAAGGGCCCATCATCTCATTGTAAATGGTATTCAGGTTGTCCAGGGAGAATTTGCCCTTGTGCAGTTTTTACTGGCAGATCCAAATCCCCTTCTTGTCCTTCAGGTGCTTGGAAATGGCTTCCAGGAGGATTTGCTCCATCACTTTCCCAGGACGAGACGTGAGGCTGAGCAGCCTGTAGCTCCCTCATCTTCCTTTTTGCTCTTCATGAAGATGGGTGACATGTTTGTCTTTTCCCAGGCGTCAGGAACCTCCCTGACTGCCATGGCCTTTCCAGGGTGACAGAGCAGCCACACAATGACTTTGGCCAGCACCCTCAGCACCCTTGGCTGAAACTCACCCCAAAGAGGACCCACAGAGTCATGTATGGCCAACCAGCTTGCTGAAAGTGTCTCCAAATGTTCTTGGTCACTAGGCCTACTCCCTCACTGAGTTTTGAGTTTTGGGCCCACTTTCTTTTTTTTTTTTTTTTAGCCTTGCTGTGGCTGCCAACACCCTTACTGAAGCCCCTTTTTCTACCTTCTGCATCCCTTGCCGGTTTGAGATCCAGATGAGCTCTGCCTTTCCTAGCTCCATTCCTGCATCTACAGACAAGGTCTCTGTGCTCCCCCAGGGCAGCCTGAGCCCCTTCAGCCCTCTGTGCATCTCCATCCCATCCCACAGGCAGGCTGGTGGCAAGAGGGTGGCATCTGGGGACAGCACAGCAGTGCTGGGAGCAGGGGCACCAACAAGGAAAGGGGGGGTGCGAGCCATGGCCTGGGCTGCACACAGGGGCATGGGGTGGCTGGTGCCTCGGTGGTTGGCCAGGCTGTATGGGCTTGTGGTGGATGCCAGCTTGAGGGTAGGAGCGCTGGGATTTCCATGGAATTCCAGTGAAAATGTGGCTGCAGCAAAAGCAAGCAGGCAGGCTCAGGCACAGGCAACTGCAGTGGCAAGGTTGTTTAAGAAAGTGTGCTGGCCTCCTGCCATGGTTGCTCAACTTCATCCATAAAAAGCCCACATAGTTTTTGCATTTCAACAGGTTTGGCCTCGAAGATGAAACAGTTGTCCAAGGCTCCTTTTTTCTACAGGGCAGTTTCCCAAGAAATTCAGCCCAGGAACTTCCTGAACAAGCCAAAAATTTCTCCCTTGTACTCCAAGGCTCTGATTCTGGGGTTTGTCCTGCACACCTCTCTTGGGTGTTTAAACCCCACCATCTCCCTGGTCACTGCAGCCATGTGACACCGACCCTCAGAGGAAAAGCTCACGTGCCCATGGTTACAAGTTCCTGGCGCTCTGTCTCAAGTATTTGTTCCAGAATGACATGACAGGACACATCAAGCCTCTCATCTTGCTGCACCCATTCCTGGAGGAACAGAGAAGTGACAGGGTTTGACTGTCCTCTTTTCA